TTAATGATTCTATGATTCTATGATACCAGTTTATACAGTTTTACTTGCCAGATGCAGTTTGTGCTGCTTTAACCATTTTAGTTTTAATGCATAACAATTCTCACAATGCTGTATGCAAAACTAGGAAACAATGTGCACATAGTACCTTTCCATATCATACTCTCACTTTTTGTATGCAAGATAGTTCCACAGTTTAATTTCACCAAGGCATTCTCCTGTCTGGACACCAAATTTTGTAATTTGTTCAATTCTTACGCTCTAGAGGGTTTCAAAATAGCAAAAGAAAAGTCTTAATCTATGTTCTCTACAAACTCAAGAAATCACACCTCTTTACTATTAAAACTTTTTCTTTCTAATACATTTTATTTGATCAACAACTGTAATACCTTAGCCAAGACATTCATGGGTCAGCCTACAGGAGCAGGAACAACTAGTAAAATTACTGCATCCAAAGTCATACTTTGATATCTAGAGATTTTCCCATATAACCTAAGTCAGATTTCTATCAGTTATTTTTATTTCTGTTTTGACAGAAAGTTGTTCACAAAGAGCAAACTACAACTGGTTTTAGACCAAACCTTGTACTGAAACAGTAAACAGAAACTTCTGAAGTATCATAAAGCTGCTACCTCTTGCCACAGGGGCTTTCCGAGTGACTGTTAAGTACACCTTTAAACATCTGTGGTTTTTACGTAAGGAAAACCAGTGATACTCCATCTCTATGGAAAATTAAAACCAGTCTTTCCAGTAAAGGGTAGCTGTTTCATTCCTACTGTAGTGCCTGAAATCATACGTATAGGTTATATATACATGCCTATTGTTGGATTCGTTTGGTTTCCATATTTCCAGGCCATCTCGTAATTTATTGCTGCATCCTTATATGCTTGTTCCTTTTCCATTATGTATCCCATGTATTCGTAAGCCTTGCAGCATGACTACAAAATATAAATATTCATTCAAAATTTTATTTAGGTAAGCTTACATATAATAATACTGACAGCTTAATTGCTTAAATACTTCAAATCTGTAAAACTAGAAAGCATAAGTGATACTTGTACTAACTTTGATGACAAGATACTCTTGATTTAAAACATTTGTAATAGAAATCAGTTATATGGAATTCTGCACAGAGACTTCGACTTCCTAAGTTACTCTGAGTCAAGTACAGCACTCATCACAGAGGACACTGCAACTACTTCAAAAACGTTTAGAGCCTCCAGGAACCCTGTCGATACCTCTCTCAGCTAATAATAACCCTACGGCAGCTGCATTTCAAGTCCAGTCGGAAAGCATTGTATCTTCCGCAAATATTGTTTGTTTCACTTTTTCTTAAAAAGGTATTTTCATAGCCTTATTTTTGGAAACTGTTTTGCATTACAATTTTCCACTTAAAGCAAAAGCAGACACAAACACCCTGAAGAGAACACCAACCATTAAATATTTCATTTTGTATAACTCCACGTGGCAAGTTACAAGCATCTGAAAAACAGGTTCCAAAAACTATTAAGCACTAGATGAAAATACTAGCCTTGCTTATGTTACACATACATATAAATCAATTTAACATCATAATAAAAGTTATTATAAAAGATACAGTAATTCATACAGAAATCTTATAGTTTGTACATAAAGCAGAAAACAGATTATGAAAATAAGCAAAACTAACGACCGCATGGCCTTACTGTGAACAGCTTATATTATCATGCTGCCAATAGGTCAAATATTTTCAAGAGAAAAATGAAGCTTTTCTGAAAACGTGCACCTTGTTTACATAGGCATAGCAAAGAAACGCCGATATACACATTATATTCCATCTTTAACTTCACTATTTCCAATTAGGCTTCCAAAATCTACTGATGAAAAGCTTTCAAATCACAGCATACTGAATAAGCAGTACAGGAA